TTAGAATGGTCTCAAGTCAGGTGTTCCCCCCCTCCTCTGCCAGTGTAAGCTTTTGTGATTGTTATTTTCTCAAAGGAGAAAAGAAAGGGGAGGGGGRGGGAKAGGGGGAAGACAAAGAAAGGTAGACGACGCTGAATGGTAGAMAAAGATCCTATTTGGTCCAATGAGASGAGGTACTGATMCGGCGTCTCTTAAGGAAGAGAGAGGAAAACTAGATTATCGACAAAGAAAGAGTGAAAGAGGCACAGAAGAGAGAGAGAGAGAGAGAGAGAGAGAGAGAGAGAGAGAGAGAGAGAGAAAGAGAGAGAGAGAGAGAGAGGGTCAGGCGTAATCCCGCTAGCCACGGAGTAGATGAAACTACCGTTTGCAACTCCACAAATAGTGCAGTTCAGACCAGGCAGGGAGGGGACACAGAGCAAAGGTATATGATAACGAGCTACTAAAGCACATGCAGCGAGACAGCATCTGGTGATAGGACAAAAAAAGGCTTCCCATCCCGTATCTACCTTTTGTTCACCTTGAAGACAAGCGCCCACACTTTCTTTCGTCGTTAACAACCACTGCGGACCGCGCGGCGGTCTCCATGCTCTCCCTTCACATGAGTGCGGAGGAACGGTAGGTACGATCCTCTCAAAAGTGCCACTGCATCCACCGTAGCCTCTTTCCCTCACATTCCACCGAGGGTGAGCCCTGACGAAACGGGGCACTCCATGCCCTCCTCTCCCACCCCTCCGCTCTTTATCTCCTCCCGCTCACCCGCCACCCTCAGTGCAAAATGGTGAACGGGGCACTCAATTTGCTGGCACTGCCTCCATCGAAGATTGTAGATGAGCTGGAACTCGGTATCCTCGGAGTCGACCGCCATCACAGCCTTCTTGCCCTCCAATCTCACCACCGTCTTGATGTTCAGGTTGGGAGCATTGTTGCACTCGCTCCAGACAAGCGTCAGGAAGTCGTCCGTGAACTCGAAGCTGCCAACCATTGGGCCTTTGATTCTGCGCTCTATACTCGCCGTACCCGTTTGTCCGGAGAAGTAGTAGTGCGTCTCATAGATGCTCTCGGAGTTCTTTGCGATGTTAGCGTACCCGCGGCCTGTGGCCTGACCAATGGAGACGCTCCAGCCATCCGGGTAGTTCATAGAGAACGACATCTGGCAAGACTTCCTCTTSTCGGCGAGCGACCCGTCCGTGGTCGCAACCATCCCGCCGAACATGAAGGTGACCGTCTTGTAGTCGTTCGACAGCACGTAGTTGGTGTTGTTGTAACTGCAGCCGGAGCCTGCGTAGGTGACATAACCGATAGTCACCTCAGTTGGAGTCTGCGCGCTTGCCTGAACTGCAGCAGCGATCATCAGAAGAACGGCCGCAAGAACCACCGGACGCGCCATTGCCCTCGACCTCTGCCTGCACTCCCCCTCAACAAGCTTCACGGCGCACAAAGAAGCGCGGTCCTTGGAAGAAACAATGGCAGCGGTGAGACGCACCTGGCTGCTCCTCCGTTCGAAGCCCCACTCCTCGACGTCTCTGCGATCCGTGTGCAAGCAACGAGAGACATCGATTTCGAGTGCGTACGTGATCGAACTATGCTTGTGTAGTCTATGCCCGGCCTAGGCAGTTCTGTTCGTTTCATACAATGCGATCCGCTCGTAGCAGTCACTTCGAGGTCCGCCTCTATCCAGCAATCATGTGATCGGAAGGGGTGGCCCTGAGTGAGTCACAAGAGGCTCGTCTCTTTCGGCCCCAACGGCTCTTTGCGGACCAAATGCTGTTACGTTCCTGGGAAAGAATGAGCACAACCTTAACTCGGGGCATTTTTGAGTTGTTTCAGACCGGCAATGCCGATCAGCTTCATGCTCTGTGGCGGCCAGGGGGAGCAAGTTTTCTTTCTATTTTTAGTAGAGCAGTACTTGTACACACAGATCATGTGTGTGGCCACTGGACCACTGGTCAGTGGTCTCTGAGGTCGAGGGTCCAGAATGAAGGCAAGTGGGACGTGACCCTCAGTGGTTGTTTGGTCTGGAGGATGACATGGAATATCAGCATGCTCTCTGAAGCAACACAGCTCTCTCTGCAATTGGTCCAAAAGAAGAAAGAAAATGAAAGCTCACACGGAACACTATTTCTCAGCAGTGCTTGGCTTGAGAGTCATGATTACCTGTTCACAAAAAGAAATCACAAAACGAGAACAAAGTATATCCCAGGCGACTCGCCAAAGTCAACCATTGCCAACACAGCCGGGGAAAGTGGGAATGGGAAGCCTTGAGCCGCTTGAGCGTGGTCGAAGATCCACGTCACATGACGACAGGAGTAGGAAAGCCTTTCCTGCCAAGAGATTTGAATCCAGCCCAGCGAGGTCCGCAGTGCATAAGGAGCTTCACTTATTTTGACAGTGACCTCCCGCACAGAAGTACAGGTACGTTGCTGACCTATTTTGTTTCGGCACCAATAAAAGTGAAGTCCCTGATGAGGCTGATGGACACAACTGTCCTGTCATGGGCAAGAAGACACTGCCACGTTAGCCAAGAAGTACTGTAGCACATTCATTCTTTTCTTTGAAGTTTTCCATTTCTTCTCCTTCTGGACCCCAATTCAGGGTTCTCACTTGTAATTGGACAGCTCATAGGCGTACCACCTGAGCTCTTGTTTCCTCTGGCACGGTTCTGAAATCTTCCGTGTGAACGCGCCGCACAGCAGTAATAAGGGCATACTCACACGGAGACCCCAAATCCACAAAATATGCGGATTTTGGAAGGGCCTATTTGAGGTTTTGGGCATGGTTCACGTCACACTGCTGTACCTTTTCAGATGGGACAAGGTCGCGGCCGGCCGGAGAAATGGGGATTGGTACTTGGCCGGTCACACGGCTCCGTCCACAAATTGTGCAAGTTTTTGGAAGAAAATGCAAAAAAAAAAAGGGCATTTGCAGTCACCTCCAGAGGTGGCCGCAAAATCCCTTGCCTCGCGGCTTCCCAGACCGCTGACAAATGGGCACTGGAATAGTAGATTTGCGAATTTGGTACATCCGTGTGACCGGCCTTTTCCCCTTTTTTTTGGGATTTTGGGATTATAGGTGCCCGTGTGAAGTGCCCGATGGACATAATTGTCCTGAGTCATGCCCGCCACCAGGCCGGGAAGACAGTGCAACCTTAGCGAAGCCTGTACTGTAATACTGTAGCACATTCTTTCATTTGTTCGGAGCATGAACTTGAGTTCGATGGAGAACAAATGAACTTCCAAGAAAAGAGAGAAGGGAAAATATATGAAACCTCCCCACGGGGAAACCTTGTATTCATTTCACCCCAAATGGGGCAAAAGGTGTCACAGGCCCCAAAATGACTCTTCCTGTCATTTTTGCACCCTGGCTGGGCCGGTAATGCAAAATGGCGGGAAAGAGTTTTACAGGGTGCAAAAATGAAGCCAAAGGTCATTTTGGGGCTTGCAGTACTTTCAAAATGAAGCATTTTGGGGTTTGCAGTACTTTCAAAATGAAGCAAGTGCTAATCAAGTTTTACCTCGCCAACAAAATAGTCCTTGGCAAAACTTATAGCTCTTCCAGACTATAGCTCGACGTCCAAAAAGCTATGGGTTCCGGTTCAGCTCGTGGAGGCAGAGCATTTTCTGTTTGTTTTTTCTACTTTTTTTTTTTTTTTTTTTTTTTTTTTTTTTTTTATTGTTTTTTTTTTTTTTTTTTTTTTATAACTTTTTTTTTTTTTTTTTTTTTTTTTTTTTTTTTTTTTTTTCTTTAAGACTAATTCTTTATGCCCAACCAATTCAACTACCTGTCGAATCTGGACAGGACAGCCTTTCAGGCCTTTTTTATTGTCATTATAGTATTAAGGGGCCACATCCGTGCTCGAGCTTCCAATGAGGGAACATGCGGGAGCTGCACCCACCAGCAGGTGCGATACCTGCTACAGCAGGTGGGCTATACCGGCCAGGGGTCAGCCGGTAGCATCAGGACCGAGCTTCTTCGATGGGCCAGTCACTGTGCCTCCCCTCCGGTCCCCTCCCCCTACGAACATCACCAGTCTTTGCTCAATGCCACTCTGGGGGACCAACGGCATATCTCTAGGTGGCGGGTGCTAAGCCTGCCCAGGAAGGTACATGAGGCCAATGGGGATTGAACCCAAGACCTCCTGAATGCCCCTTGCGTGCCTTACCAACTGAGATAGGCCACATATGTTGGGTCATCAGTCCGAAAGTTTCTTGCCTGGCAGTCTCTCCAGATGCATGTAGTGTAGTGGAGCGAGATCCATTCTTGGGCTTGCACCTCGGACAGCATTGTTACTCTCACTTCACGAGCCACACCCAAAGCCAAGCCGCCTCTCAGGCATATTCTTTAAAACGTGGTTTCGAGTGGGCGTGCATCAAAACGTACATTCACATAAGGTCTGTGGTCCACTGGATTGAACGATGCCAAATTGGAAAACGGGGCCTTTTGGACCACGCATCTTGAAAAGAAAATGCGTTGACTTTTCTCCGTTGATCTGCAAAGATCAGCAGCGGAGAGATCTTCACACGTTCTTCTCAAGAAGGGGGGTCCAAAAGGCCCCAATTTTCTTTTTGTAAGGAGACAGCAGTCTCCTGTGGGCTGGGCAATCGCTGGGGTGCCCTTTACTCTCTGGTACGGCACCGCCAGCGTGATGCGCTGGGTTCGACCGGGGGTTTTCCGGGCCGGTCGACCGGCCGGTCCGGCCGGCAGGCGCCCAGTTGGGGTTGCGGCCCCCGGTCCAACCGGGGATCAGTCCTGGTGGGGAGAGCATTAGCCTGTCCTTTTTTCCTTCCCTCAATTTCTCCCCTTGTTCTGAAGTCTCCCTCATCAGCAGAAAACCAGAAGGACAAAGGGTAAGAGAACAGGACACAATATTTAATCAGAATGGATATGCTGAGAGATCCTCCTTGCCAAAACTTATAGCTCTTCCAGAGTACAGCTCGACGTCCAAAAAGTTATGGGTTCTCGTTCAGCTCGTGGAGGCAGAGCATTTTCTGTTTGTTTGTTTTTCTACATATGGTGGGTCATCAGTCCGAAAGTTTCTTGCCTGGCAGTCTGTCCAGATGCATGTAGTGTAGTGGAGCGAGGTCCATTCTTCCGCTTGCACCTCGGACAGCATTGTCACTCTCACTTCACGAGCCACAACCGAAACCCATAACGTTTTCCCAAGAGCATAGGGACGTTGCAGAAGCATATAGTCTAAGCAAAGCCAACCCTCAGGCATGAGCATACTCGTTGACAAATGGAACAGCCGGTAAGCCTGGCATTAAGAATTCCTCATTGTCTTGTATAAGATACCACTAATCAGATGGAAGGCATGATATGTTCTCCATCATTGCCCGCGGCAAAAACAAACCTCGATGAGCATATAGAGGACGAGTTAACTGACAAATCGTGGTGTCAGGGTGCGCCACGGACAGCTCACCCGAGGGGACAGATTTAGACTCCCTACCTTGTTTTCTATGAACAGATTTAGACTCCCTACCTTTTTTTCTTACACGATTCCTGAGGAAACTATCCTTTTCAGAACAACTGGGCACTGCTGCGCCTGTCCACTTTCTTCTTTTGATACTTACTGACGAGGGGGCTGACTGCTTAGAATGGTTTAAAGTCAGGATTTGGCCCCCCCACCCCCCCAACTCTGCCTGTGCAAGCTTTTGTGATTGTTGTTTTCTCAAAAGGGAAAAACAAGGAGGGGGGGGGGGGGGGGG